TAGATGGACATGTAATTTGTCTTGGTTTATCTTATATATACTAAAGGGATTAGACTCTCACCATGGTTCTCTTAATCCAAGACAAGAATCATGCTTAGCCAAACTCACAGTTTCTAAGTAATTCGTAGAGAGTATGATCTTATTTTAATTTTAGCTGAAAACTGCTTTTTATTTGGACTCATAACAAGAATATTCAGATTTATATAATATCAACTGAACTCCTTTGGTTAAAGGAGAAAACAGATTGGTTATATCCTTATCTATTTCTATGCATCATGATATTCGTATATATAGACTGGATATTTGGATGGTTAGTTAATATAATATAGCCGGATATTATGATTGAAACTTTTGAAGAGAAGCCATTTTAAAAAATATGAGATACTCAACAAGCTTCATTTTCTCTTATATTACATGCAACAAAGTGTAGAATAATTGTTGTTGTTGCTACTGAGGATTTGTGGTTCCTTAATTGTTGTATAATATTTAATAGCATAGACCTTTTGCTACCAAATCCAGCTGCATCATAATCTGAATTTGCTTCCGATCAGATATTAACATCACATGATGCAGTGCCTTTAGTTTCACGTATTCTACTACCAATGCAAGTAATTGAACTTTCTTCTGTCTGTCCATCTCTGTTTTTCTTGTTATGATGGATCTTTATCTTTGTCGTCTCAACTAACAAGCCCGTCTTTGATTAGGTAAAGTGGAGCCATATATTTGGACAACTATATATTGTACGTTTTCAGTCCAATGATAAGACATCATTCAAGGATGTGGATTTCAATTTGCAATTCAATATTTCATTTTTATGTTTATTTTTCACCCAAAGAAAAGATTCTCCTACGTATAATGTATTGCATAGCAGCCCATTCTAATATTGATGTAGAAACTGCAAGAGTAGGAAGAAAGAGAGAGAAAGAGAAGAGTGATATTAGAGATTAGAATAAAAGATTAGAAGAGAGAATATATAATTTTTTTAGTCAAAACTGATATATTTAAGAGCCTTGCTATAAACTCCAGTATTTATAGGGTTTAGGAGCTGTAGTACAATAAATAAGGGTAATGATTCCCAAGAATAATTTCTCATTGGATTTCTAGAGAACTTGTATGTCTTTTGGAAATCCAAAATATGACTCTTTAGAGATCTAAACAACTTTAAAAATTTATTACAGTTGAGAAAAAAAAAACAGTGCACTTAACACAAAAGTTGTGTCCCAAGTTTAACATATAGAAAGATTAAAATATTCTTCATTTTCCCATACAATTTTTAGGATTTCTAGGCCAATTAATTAATAATATTTTTTTATTTAGTATACTCTTATAAAATCCTTTTAACCCTAGATGGTTCTCCATCAAATATTCTGAGTTCAGGTATGTTTTTATGGATTTGTTTTATTTTGTTTAAAAATTAAGATATGCCATGACTTTGTAAAACAAGGATTACTTGGGAGTTATTCTTTAATGGATGGCATATTCAGTACATACTATCTTAAACTTGGTATACAAATGATATACAATTGTCTCGCATCAATACTTCCATTTTTTTTTTCCATAACTTGATATACGAAGGATTACTTGATCATGTACCACCCTCTCTCACCTATCCTTTGTAGCCAAATTGAACAATGTCTTGTTTGCAAGCTATTCACAGACCCTACCAAGCATTTTCTTTTTGAATGCTCAATTGCTAATGTTTTTGGAATCTCCTTCAGCCAAACATCAAAAACTCTTTCAAACTTTTGGTACCTCGTGACTTGGCTTAAGGAGAGCAATAATCTTTACAAAACTTCATCTAAACTTCTAAGTAGTCCTACTGCTTTCTCCCTATGACATGGATGGTCATCGTGCACATACAACACATTCATCGATAGGCTATTCATCACTTATGCATACTTGTATAGTTGTTTGACATTGTGTTTTTCCTTGTTTTTATGTGTTTTCATTAGGTTTCTATAAGTAGAAGCAGTTTGTAAGGCTGTGCATCGATTGCTCGTCAGACTAGGCAAAACTATCCCAAATGGTCTAGTTTTCATGTGTCGTAGTCTGTTTTATACAGGTTGTTATGCGGTGCGAAACGTCAACCATCTCAGCTCCTTATAACCACCAAGGTATTACAGGACTGAATGAGCCTTTGGGGTAGTATTGGGTCTTGTTTAGATATACATGTTTATATGCAAAGTATACGTAGACTTATCTTACACCCCGACATCTGGTTAAGCGGTTGTTTGTAAACTTGTCGCTATCTTTTTTCCTTTCGAAGTCCTTGTTTCTTCCTTTTCTCTTTTCTTTTTTTTGCAATTGAAGTGTTTATTGAATTGCTTGTTTCCTATGGTTTTTCCATGAGACATTGGGATTTATTCGTCATTGGTTTTCTGAATCTAATAAACTTTCTCTTTTGTAGGTTCTTCGAGACCTTACTAGATTGCTCTTAGGTTGTCCCTTTGCTAACGAATATCATAGGGTGCCACATGACTTAGACAATTCTAACTAAGCCTATGACACTATGGACCTTTGTGTGTTAACTAAAATGAAGCCAGATTTTTCAATCACTAGTCCAATCCATCCACACTAGTTTTCAAAGCACTCAGCTCTCATTAAAGATATCACTCCTTGTTATGAACATTCTGAGGGGTCAAGAGATGTGGAAATCTTCCCTCCCACAAACAGTTCTACTCTAAGCTTTACTCTACAAATTGATGGCTCTTAGTCACAGTATGATAATTCTGCATGTTTTGCTTTTCTCTTCAAAACATCATCAAACTCTACTTTGGCACTTGGTTTTGCCCCTTCAGCTGTCCAGAACCCCTCTACGTCCACGGCTGAAGCCATGGCTCTTTTTGGAAGGTCTCCAAGATGCCCTGGAGCTCAACTGGGCTATCTATCTTGCTTGTGCATACCTCGTTAACCACATCAATGATACCTCTGTAATCCAATGTGAAGGTTGCATCCTTTTTCTTTTTGTCCATTAATTATGTAGATGAATTTTTTTTTCTTTTTTGAGAAAATAATTCAATGATACCTCAAACTCAACTGCAAGTAGGTTTACCCTTAAACTAGTATAATAGTAGTCTAGTAGTCATGGTCCTGTTTCATCTGTATTATTTGACAGAGGTAGATGAGTAGAAAGAGCGAAAGACTGAGTCTAATCATAAGTGGTGTCGTCGTGCCTTGAAGTCAGTATAACAAAAGGGAGACTTTCTCCTCTCTTATATGAGATAGCTTTCACAGAGGGTAAGAGAAATTCACCGACTAGAGTTAACTTAAGGAAGATCTTCGCTTCGAATTGGATTTTTCACAATTGTCGCTAACAACATCCTACTGTATATAGTCGGGTTGGATGATGGTGCATGTACAACGCTGATGCTTCAGACTGCTATTGTTTTTGGGGGGGTTTTTGCCTCAGAAGCGGACAACTCGAAAATGGCATTTCGTTTCATGATTGATGGAGATCGAAATTGATCCTAGCTGAGTTGTATTATTTTAGTTGGCCATTTATGCAATCTCGAATCTTATCATGGAGCAGCACATCTGAGGGTTCAAATTGAGCTCACTCAGCCATGCAATTCTAGTCACTGTCTGGTCCAATTGTCCATCTGCTGGTTTCTTTTTCTTTTCCATCACCTAATCCATGTCTAAGTGCTGCCATTTTTCGTAATCGCAGGGTCCATTGTTGCCCAAGTGCTCATGGGAAGCGAGACGAAGTTTGCCTTGGGCTCATTGGAAATATCTCGCAGAAGATGCATCCTGTTTGCTGGAAAATAGTACAAGGGTTGTGGGACTCGATATTGATCGGCACAGGTTTGTTTATGAAAGCGAGAATTAAGTCTTGATTTCAAAACGAAGAGATATGATTGCAGACCTGCTGGCTCCTTCGGCTTCTCCGGTGCTTTGGCTTTTGTTCCTGTTCTCTGACAGCTGGGGCCCGAGCAACCAATCGATTTCACTACGCTCCAGGACGACCAGTCTGCTGATAGAGAGAGAGAGAGAGAACTCCGGTGCTCCGCTCATCGCCTGCTCGTTACCCGACAAACTCTCCACTTCATTGGAGTACGATGGCTCCGCAGTGAGAGAGATTCTGGGAAGCACCTACAGACCAGAAACTTCAACCACCACTTGTCTTATCAATCTGCCACGCACGGGGATCACGTAAGGAACGGATTCCTCCTCATCCATTGCAGGTACCGCTGCACCAGATGATTCTTCATGTTGGAGTATACGATCGTATTTGTGCGGTGCACTTGGAACGCCACGTTCATCACGTAATCCGAATCGAAGTCCAGGTTGCCAAATCACCACCGTTGGATACTGGGAAGACGGCCGTGGTGTCCCCATCAAGCCAACCCATCTGATGGTTACTCGATACCCAAGTACGTGACCCGTTCCACGACCCTTGCGGCACATATGTACTGAGAGCAACTCGGTACTGCCAGATCAAAGATCGAACGGTGGGAGCTCTCCCTAACAAACCATTTTACCGGATTGGCAGCGTTGGAGCTCCCAATTCATAGCCTCCATGTAAGAGGACACGACTCCATCGCCTCGTCTGCTGAACTTTTCATGTAAGAGGACATCTGCCATGGGGCCCGTAGCCATGTGACCAGATTCATAGACGTTGCCCTGTGGGGCAAGCCTCGAGAAAGCCCACGGATCTGAATGCTAACCCCCTCCTGCAAGAGACGACTCTACAGTATCCGCCAAAGTTGAGAATACCAAAAGCATGGACAAGACGTGCGGTTGGGACGGGTGAGAGGGTAGCATGCAGCACGCGTGGAATTAGCGTCGGCAATATTAGAATGGCGGCATCCCAGAGGAATCGCAGTAAAAGTGGGTTGCGTGAGGCATCAGCTTGCGGCCGGGCAGAAAGGGTCCCACATGAGAGGCTGACGTGGCTTGCAGAATCTAGTCCATCTCGTCTCTGCCAATGGTATCTCATCTCCCACGTGACCGCCGGCCCCTTCGTTACGCAGTGGTCTTTCCTTTAAGAACTCCAACCACACCCCCTCTTCGCCTTCGGCAAAAGGGCTTTGTCTGCTTCGGCCATGGGCGACTCTTCTTCACCAGCCTCCTACATCCGCATGGTGATCACATAGCACAACCCCCCGGCTTGAGTGTGTTCTTTCGCTCCTTTCTCATGGTTCATGTTGGTGTGGGCTTCAGGTGCAGCTCCTGATCGAGAAGTGCCTTATCTTCCACATGAACAAGGACGAGTGCGTGGAAGCTCTCTCCAAGCACGCCGCCATCGATCCTGTCATCACTTCCACCGGTATGTTCATGGTCTTTTCCTTGTAAACATCGTACCATGTTACTATCATCGTATACGGCAAATCATGAGAATCGCACGCGGTGCTTCTACATAAGAATAGAGGAGGAATAAATTTAATACGTTATTATGCATGGGAAAGAAATCATTCGTGTCAACGAACTTGTGTTCTTTGTTAGTGTGGACCGAGCTGGAAAAGGAGAACAAAGAGTTCTTCGAGGCGTACTCGAAGAACCGAGAGGGGAGTGTAATGGAGATGATGCGGGAGATGGTCACGGAAATGGCTTCCCGAGACCCAGAGGATGACGAGGGCTAAGATGGCATCCATCAATCCAAATTATATATACTGTAATTAAGGAAGACGGGTGGGGGAGGCAAAGATGAGAAGGTAGAGCAAATAAGCTCCCGGAGAAGAAGAACCTACGGCTACTGTGGGTTTGTGCAGGACTCAGGATCTGCCGATGGGGACATGATGCTACGCTTAATTGGCAGCTTATGCGTATCATTGCCAATGTGTATATTGATTGATGTGTCCAAATTGCAATGGAATGGACGTGTAGGCTTTGGCTTGGCTTGTTTGAAGCTTGCAGTCGAATTGGTCACGCTTTCAGCTGCTGATTCCGGCGTTATCGGTAGGATGAGAGTACTAATTCAATGAAAAATTGAGAAATCATATGAGATATATGTATGCTTTGTTTAGTCTGTCTGCAAAAGGTGATATGTTGTTGTGGTGGAATATCTCCGTTCCGAACACACATATCAAACAGATTATGATGGGATGGGCAATTCATAACGAGACAAATTATAGTGGTTGCACAAATTTATGAGAGGCACTTCCGACATCTGCCCACACACAGTATTATTCTTCGGTAAAAAGGCTAAAGAACAGTTGGGGTTTTGTGTCCGCTATGCAGCTTAGGAATGTTCACACCGAGGGCTGAACCAAAGTAAGTAAGATAGTTCGAATCGATTTATCCGATTAACTAATTTATAATTTTAAATAATTTCTTTTTTTTTTTTAAATATGTATATTTTATAAGATTCGAATTGAATCAAAATTTTGATCCCAATTGGACCGACAAGAATTATAAAATTAAACTCATATCATTTATAAAATTGAGTGTTTCTATTGATTTAATTGATTAATTTAAATTGATTAAAAACTTAAGATTTAAATTAAAATTGATTTGGCTCGATCCAAATTTATTTTTAATCTTTATAATTAGATTATTAATGGATTTAAATTTAGTTTCGATTCGATTTTCACTTGAGATACCCCCCATCTTTCATGTGACCATTCCTTTTCTACTAACTCTGAAATCATATGAATGATGAAGTCAATCTGATATAGGAAACATCATCACCATAGGATGCTAACGTCCACCTTCATCTTGAGGTCGAATGCAATTCATGAAGGCTGCCAAAATATTTTGACCACAATTGATTCTGTGTGTTCGGTGAAGATATTATTTTCTATTTATGATGCAAAGATTAAGTAAAAGATGTTTGGCACTTTGCCGATTTTGTTTGGTCTTGCATCCTCGTCCACACCATTAAATTCTCTCGAACCTTTTTGGTCTTCGGTCCCTAAATGAATACATGATCTTCTCCTTTACAAAAAGATTTAGATCATGGATTTGATTTTTAGGACCTACACATGCCATCAAACAATAATCTCTCTCTCTCTCTCTCTCTCTCTCTACATATGGAGTTAGATTTGAGTGTACCAAATAATGGGATAAAGATGAATACTGATGGAGTATGGTGGATGAAATAATAAATCAACAATCGAAACCTTTATGTGATTATGATTTTTTCACGCATTGCATATGTTATTAGGGCCAATCCCACGGAGGAAACACAGAACCCTCCAAAAATAAAATGTATTCTTTAGTACAAAGGCGAAGGAATAGTTCGCCATGTGTTTATCACGTAACATATCGAGCAGGCCGCCGTTTAACAAGTGTGGTGGGACTACTAAGGAAGACGTCTCTATTGTTTATCCTCTTTCGAGGCATTCCGGTGGCCAATCTGATTGAGAACTATTCGCCTTCCATCAATCGTACCCAAAAGAAAAGAAAAGAAAAGAAAAAAAAGATCTATTCTGCTACACGAATGAGTACACGCAGAACGCGCACTTTAGTGCTGTAAAACGCAAAGCTATTATTTGCAAGTGTTTGACAAAGATAGTGATGCAGCGATATCTCATGGTGATGCGTCGCCTCAAACATCATTCATTTTCCGTTCAGGAGCGACATAATCGTTGGTCAACATAAAATCTCGACATACAAATATTTTTCCGACGTAATTCCTCCGTAATTCCTATTTAGGTGCAAACTAGTGTTCTTTTTTTTGGATCCATCCTAGCAAAGGTTAAATCGGATGAAATTATATTAAGATCCATATAATTATAAAAATAAAATATTTAATCTCGTTTTCTCTCACGTCATCGACTACAAAAAAATACTATAAGGTTTATTACTGAGCATATGTTGAGTTTGTCTTACTTTGATTTATCGCTAAGCACATGTAGCATTTTCGTAAACAGAATCAATGACATAAGGAGAAAATAGAGTTAAATATTTCACTTTTATAAATATAAAATTTCATGATAGAATTTTAGTGTTCTGACTATTGGACACATGTCTCCATGACATAATGATAATCGATGATTTCATATAATTAATCACCCTATCAATTAACACCCTCACTTAACTCACTATAAAAGAAAAACCGAACCCTTTAAATCTACAGTCTTGGACATGAAAAAAAAAAAAACGTGTCTTCTACATGTGATTTCCTTTTTCTTTTAGCAAACACTCTTTCATGTCATGAATAAATCATTGCCTCTTTTTTTATTCTGTTAATTCAAATGAGTCAGATGAATCAGATCATGGCAATGGATATGGTTTTCAACTGCATCACATATATGGATCGGATTGCAATCAAACCGCTTCTTGCCTTGTGCGTCCAACAACTGCTACTGGTGCTGCTTGTCGTGCCTCGACTTATGCTCCATCTCCGATCTCAAAGAACCTTCGCCGGCCGCCCTCCTCCGGTCGAGCCAAGCGACGATGTCTGAGAAGACGAGGTCGATGTTCTCCGGGGGCTCGCCGGACGTGAGCGCATGCCACATGCCCGGGTAGAGCTTGAACGTCTTGTCCTCGGATGATGCAGTTTCGTAGAGCAGCTTGCTGACCGAGGGATCGATCACTATATCTTCGCCGCCATGCACGATCAGAAAAGGTAGTGAAACCTGCAATTAGCATTCATAGTTGATCTTAACACAGTCGGTGATTGTTCCATGTTTTGCTTCTGTAGATGATGAAGTTCCAACGTAGAAATCAATCGTTGTTGTATGAAATTGTTGTTGATGTTTAGCTTCTCTAAGTGTTGCAGATCCATTTAAAAAATGTTTTACGACCGCATGAAAAATGGATCACACAATAATATTTTATTCACACACCATATATCATGAACCCGTCATGTAGGAGTGATCCCATTCCAGAACTGTCGATTTTGATTATTATTTTTTAATTGAAAATCGAAACTGAACCAGTTCCAGTTAGTTCCGGTTTTATATTCTATCAATCGGTTTCGATTGATAAAAAAAGAAATTACTTGCTTCAAGTTTAAAGTACTAACCATTATACCATGCATCCTATTTATATTTATATTCTTATTTTTCCTATTTATCTGATTCTAGTATCGATTTTTAGAAACTAAAATCGGATCATAAGAATCTAATTTTGATTCAATTCGAAATTATCGAACCGTTAATGTGTGTGTTGCATAACTTAGGACAACTTATTTTTCTTTCTTGATAAGTTTATAATTGAGGTGCTTATAAAAATATTATCAAAGGAAGAAGTCATTGATATCCTCGTCAGCTTAATATGGTTTGAACTTATGTGCGTAGGGTTATCTAATATGAAAGTATTGGCTCATGAGGTATCACCTGCATGATAACTGAGGTCGAGAGAGGTTTTTCAATCCGGTGCATTTGACGCTCAAGTTAGTAACCTTAAGTGTCCTAAGTTAAGGTTAAAAAAATAAACCTCCCTTTCATTGTATTGAAGACGAGCTTCTCGATCTTATATCCTTCAAGATATCTCATTATATGTCCTTTTATTATCTCCCATCTCTCATATGTGACGAGCATGCTCAAAATGTTATCATATTCTTGAACTTAAACTAAATAAACCTAACCATTACAACTATGAATAATGGTGGTGCTAAATCATAAATTCTCACACAAATACATTTTCACCAATATACTACATCAGAGTCACTTATCTTCATATAAAAAATAGGAGACAATTTCAAACCTAATATCTTTAATATCACACGTAATTTTTTAAGAATATGTCACTTTTTAATATGTCTTCGTTCATTTTATTTTTAATCAAATCATAATTGTCTAGGATGTTGATCTTGATAGGAAGAAGGGATAGAATTATCAAACAGAGGAAGAGTAGATAAGCTTCAATCTTCTATATTTCTCTCAAGAAAACTCTTTACAAATTCAAAAACTTTATTTATTTCATGACCTAATATATGAGGTTTATATAATCCCCAAAGATACATTACATTAATTGTATTCGAGATGAATCATTCTCTTTCAAGAAACATTTTAAAAAATCAATAATCAATTTGACTTATCTTTCTATAGACTTATAATCTATTTTTTCTTCTTGATGCAATAAACCTTTCTTTTGATGAAATAAATTTTTTTATGATACTTAAATAAGTTTAATTACAACATGACTTTTATAGTCATTCTAAGATTAACTATGCAGGCTTATCCTCTAACTTTGACCGGAAAAAAAATAAAAATAAAACATTACCTGATGCAGCTTTTGCTCGATGTCCAGACTGACCATGAGAAGCTCAACACCAGTCTTCAAGCGAGGTTTTCCATTGTAGCAGTACTGGTTAGACCGAATCTGATCAAAACAAGCAGAACAAAAAGGTTGGATGAACCCAAATAGTTAGCGCGTCATTTGCATGTATCTTGAATCAATACTACCTCCTGCCTCTTTTCAGGGCACTTGAAGGCAATGTCGATGATGTCTTTGGTAGGAACTATTCTCCATGTCGGTATGATGTTGCTCAACTTCCTCAAGATGATGTTCATCGCAGGATGAGGCTTCATGTCATCAGCAATCTAAGGTACAACACACGAGAGGTTGTGTCAAAACATAGTAAATGTTTAGGGGGGAGGAAGAAAAGAAGAGAACCTTGCACATGGGGGCCACCAGAACAGCACCATTCCAATAGTAAGGGTTCCTCCTGTGTAGGAGGATGGCCACGGCTCCTCCCATGGATTCCCCCAGCAGGAATCTCGCCTTCTTCTTGTTCTCATGCCTCTCTGACAAGTTTCAAGACGTAGACGATTAGAAAGAGCTCCAACTGATCCATCATCATTTCTTATTACGTACTGTCATACCACAAATGGCGACAAAATGTTCAAAGCAGTCGTCGATCAGATTCTTAAACCTGGGAATGTATCCTTGCAGCCCAGAAGATTTCCCATGGCCCTCGTAATCCATTCCATGAACTGCGTAACCCGCCTTCGCTAACCGAGTCCCAGTGTCTGGGTGACACAGGAGTTAAAAAGCCATCAACAATCTTGATCCAGCAAAACTATACCAACAATCTTTATTAGAGTAGGTAGTAGTTTTACCTTTCATGGATATGCTGCACTCCATGGCATAGCCTGGAAGATTTCAGACACAACAAAAGAAAGCTTCTTTCGTGACATGAATATATAGAAAGAAGAACAACTTGGAGATGTTTGAGGCCATGGTAGTATTACCATGGCACAAGAAGATCAAGGCTTTGGGTTCTTCGTTCTGCGGCAGCCATTTGCACGTAAAAATCCTCTGCCCACGAGGATTCTTTATGAATTCCTGAATCATATGCACACAAAAAGATGAACACAAATCAAGAAGTAATAGAAGGGATAAGAACAAATAAGACTCTGACCACTGAATGCTAACCTCTTCGTATCTAACGTTCTCAGCACCTGGATCCTGTGACACAAGAAAGAACAAAATATCAAATATGTTGTGTGTGTGTGTGTGTGTGTGAGAGAGAGAGAGAGAGAGAGAGAGAGAGAGAATGTGAGAGGAGAACATACCATGGGAGAGTGTACAAGGAAAACGAAGAGCTTTGTTGGAAAAGATGAGAGAAGGAAGGGATTCGAAACGATATTCTTATATAGAGAGAATAAGCAATAGTATTGGTTAGTTAAGATTCTATCTACCAACCTTTAAATGAAATGCCTTTATGTATTCTCCAGATCGTATACGTGTCAACATATCATCCACGAGCTGGAGCGCTGGGCCACCATCATATCAGTCCATTGTTGTGGTACCAATCTTAGAAAGCTCCAATTATCCATAAGTCAATAAATGGGATACGACCCAACAACGCTCCCGATGACGATAATTATCGGTTCATGCACGCCTAATGTTGGTAAGCAGTCGCCACCTCTTCTACCCTTTAATTGCGGAAGAACCCACCGTTCAATAAGTTATCTGTTCCTGTCATAAGCCATAGAGAAAAGAGAAGAAACGACAGTTTTTAAGTAACCGAGGCTTTTAAGTCGGAACACTTTGGAAGACAGAAGAAAAAATATTGAGAGTATATCCCAAGGAGAGTCAACCGTCCATCTCAATTTTTGGTTGAAGTTGACGGGATTCAGTGGTTGGGAGTTGTTCGCTTAATTTCTGCATCGTGGTGAGTGGCGGCTTTGCCTTAATGCTTCGACTTCGTAGAGCTGTAGATTGCCACACTCAGCATTGTCAAAATCTTACCCAGCCTGCAAACTTGTTAAGGCACAAACACTACGATATAATCGTCTTCTCTTTACATCCAGCTGTATAATTCAATTACTAACTCAGCAATTGAGATAGCAGGAAGCCGATGACAATCCTGCAGCAGACAAGTGAGATTCACATGCCGGTTTAAAAACCATTAGGAAGTCGACGATGTGGCACCAACATCGTGAAACAGAGTTCAAGGACAAAACATTCCACGGTTCAAACATATAACAAAATTTTCAAAGGATGCTCACAGTATTGCAAAAAAGACTTCACTAAACAATGAAATCGAGTAGCAATTAACACAGAAGAGCTTAACAAGCCTGGTCCCTACTTTTATCTAAGCTTTGATTGCATACTTCCTCGTTGGAAAGTACATCTCCTTTTTCTTCTGGCGTTCTGTCTTCAAGGAGCCCTGCGATCAGAATAAATGAACTTTTTTTTGTCAAAATATACCCATTAAGCTAAAATAAAAAGGCATCATTATATTGTTACATGGAAGTATGGAAGATTTGATTTATGTTTGTCCATAGTCAAATTATAGTTGTGAAAATGTCTTATTGCGGAAGTGTCTTATTGTATATTATAATAGAATTTAAATCAGCTCAACATAAAGATAACCCACATGAAATATTTGCTTGATCTGAAGAATGATATGAGATAAACATAATATCTGCCTGATGACAAGTATATCTTTCTGAAAGATGCAACCTATTGCAAATAGGACTGATATTGAATTTTAGAAACAAGAACAATGTATTAACCGTGTTGACTGCACACGGTCACACCGGTCTGCCACCATTCTGATAGTCTCTAGTCAGTACCAAACATGCTATACAATTTTTAGTATTTTTGACAATGTACCGAGACATACCAATGCATAGAGTACCATTCTGTACACACTGTTTTAAAAAGATTCTGGTACAGATTTTCCATAATTTCTGCCGCACTTGGGAACTCTCTTCCACTCCCTAAGGAGACATACAACTCCCAACAGTCCTCAAACTTTACTAACACGAATTGTTAGACAATAGAGATACCAACTTGAGTCACTTATTGCAACCACAAGATATATCCACCATTTGCAAAGATCGATTGTGTTCACATCAATTCCAACTATAATTTGTACTTCCCAGTGTTACAACCTCACATCAGGCACCAACATCCAATCAAACACCTCTAATTTTCAGTTACATGACTGCTGACAGCAAGCAACATCGCTCTACCACAAAAGCTAGCTAGAACAACCTGGAATATCGATTACAAATAAATGAGTGAAAGTTCTGCTGATCAAGAAATGACTCTAAGACACAACAATGGAGTTACAACCTACTGAGTATGAGGGAGGAATCATTTCAAAGACTGGAACAATAAATTAGATAATTAGACAGCTTGACCATGAAGAAAGAACAAACAGAAAAAAGATGTGCAAAACAACTGGACAAATACTACATAGCAGCTGAATCAAAGGCAATTCAATGATTGCAGTGCAAGTTAGGGAACTGGAAAACCTCGTGTTCGTACAAACTTGCCAACATCCAACATATGACAAATGCATATCTGCTACATGCCGTGGAACATGAGGATATTGCCCTTATCTTCTACAACCATTTGCACCACATTTTTGGAATTTTCAGCTTTAATATTGACTAGTTCAAATGTTAGCCCTGTGAAACCTATTCTCCCACAAGGCCTCGATGATGATTCATGGGGCAAGGTTCCAAATACCGATCAAAATGAAAAGTAACAATCAGTATTATCAATATGGCCATGGATCAATAATAGATCATATAACTTGCACTGACCAATATTCATTTTTATTAGTCTGACACCAAACGGTACATGTCTGTAAACAAGTATGCTCGGTATACAAGTATCCAACAAGGTGTCAAAACCAGTTTTGGACCAAGACTTCAAACTTTGGTATGGAAAAATTTACTATTTTCATCTTTGTAGACAAACAAATAAATCACCAGGTCCCAACAGTGTTAACATGTAGTTCTGTCAAGCTAGATGGAATTTCTAAAGTTTGAGCTGTTGGGGGTAACAACAGTTCTTGATTATTTTGTTGGTACTAAAAGGCTGAACTGTCTATATCATTAGAGTAGAACGACCAATGGTGCTCATGAAGCTGAGCATTTCCGACCCATAATGTTGGCAGGTGTAGCACAAACAGTTACCTTGTGATGCCTTAATTTAATTCCACATTGTAAGTGGATGGTAATGAGGGTATAACGGGCTACAGAGGTCTATTAGTATCAATTCAAACTGAAATATTTTCAGTTAGCGGCTGAGGCATATTCAGTTAATGGGTCAGTTTTTCCATGGATTGAATAGTGACAGTCAGTTTTATAGGATGTCTAGTACTACATGGTGCGGAGCTCGCAAGAATTGGAGCCATATCACGGCTTGAAGCCACCATTAGGTTGGGCCATGTCCTATTAGGATGATTTCCTGGTAGTGGCATGTGATTGCCTTTGTACAATGCAAAAGACAATGAAAACAACATATTAGATTAATTTTTAGATTATCATGTACTCGCATAAGGACATACAGATTCTGTGTTGCGCCAATAGTCATTCCCCTAATCCAGACAACATGGGGTTTCCATTGTCATGTGTCAAAACCACCATGGCAGCATAGCATGTGTTGATACCTTTTTGGTCCATCACATTTTAACAAGTGATAATCTGTGCTGACCATGATTCACTGATCAACACTAAAAAGTGGATAATACAGCATCAAGATATGAACCACTTGGTGAGAAATAAAAGTGGATGAATGGATCAAGTAATCACCAGTAACCCCTGTATGACACTCACTTTGATGAAACAAATGTTCTTGCCTAAGAAGCATGGACAAGGACACAGCGACACACCACTTCTAAAAAAATTGGGACAAGGTCGTAGGCCTGCATGAGAGAGGCACCAAGGTGACGAGGCCGTGGGAGATAGGCGATCGGTCGACGAGAGGGACATCGAGGGAAACCCACGAGCGAGGCCACTGGTGAGAGGTGATAGGTCATTGGGGGTGGGAGAAACAGTGAGGTTGCAGCCACAAGAGGCGAGCGACGATACCGTCACACCTAGAGATGTTGACAACGATAGTGCTGTCGTCGCCGAGGCAAGTGCCCGGCTCTTCCTCAGACTCTGCAGCCTGATACCGATTGACCGCCTTTGGACTTCTTCTTCCTCCTCAGATCCAACTGAGGGATGTGGTCCAAGAAGATGGACTCGACGTCCAACGACAAGAAGTCGACAGAGGTGGTGGTGGTGGCGACGGTGGGTATGGTGGAGGAAGTTGAGGAGCTTTAAGTGGTAATGAAGCTGTAGTGACAATAGTCGCGCCAAGGGCGCAACCGCATGACAAATGTCGATGAGGTCGCCCTCATGTGAGGTCCACGCAACTTAATGCCACACACGACCCAAGGAGCGATGAGGAAGCGCATGGATCTTACACAGATACGTCGTGTCCAAAATAAAAAAAATAAAAATAGACACATGTCAAACATGACTGGTTGTATCAAAGACGCATCCGTGTTTGATATGTATCCGACACGGGTACACCCATCAAATTGGCATGTCCGTGCTTATGAGGTTCTCACAGGAGTAACTAAAAAAGTGCATAAGTCGAGGCACAATAAAGAAAGGAAACTTAGTTGTATTTGCATAAGAATCTTAAAGAATCAACCATCCAGTGCTTCACAAAAGTTCTTAATTCTTTTGGAGGATCCAATAATTGTATTTCTGATTGACACCAAGGAAAGAGTGTAAACTAATATATGCCAAGTGACAATCCCAACAGGCACACTAAAGTCATCTTTAGATAGTTCGATTGTAAAACAAAGCAACTTATTGAAAAACAAAATTGTCAGCAAAAAAGATTGATTATCTTTTCTATGCATAAACATACATACTGAGCTAGATAGTAGCACCAAACAAGTTGTATAACTAGCCTCTGGTAAAACCACAAATGACGACCACCAAATGTTACCAATCTTACATCCACCTTTTCCACCTTCAAATTACTCACCTTTCTCACACACGTAAAGTTTAATACAAAATGCGAAAAGGCATCACAACTATTCCTTATATCACAATATATGATAAACAGCATCAGCAGAAACACCATAAAATCAATATCCGCATTGTCATTAGATTATCACATGATGCTATAAAATCAAGCAAAGGATCTACCATTATCCCAAAGATATCAGGTACAGACCAGAAACCCTTTCTTATAAGAATATCTGAAACGAGCAGTACCTGACGCTTGGTTAGGCGACGGCGGATGGCACGAGTCTTCTTGGGCCTGAGGTCAAGCGGGATAAGCTTCTTCTTTTTGTATGCATCCCTCAGCGCAGCCTTCTGCTTCTGGGAGGTGACTGTCAGCACCCGCGCGATCGACAACCTCACCACCTTACTGAGAAATGAAAGATGTGACGAGATGAGATGACACAACGAACGCCCCAAGGACGAGACAGATCGGTCGGACAGAGAACGGATCAGGAGATAAATCGGTTACATCTTGGAGAGCTTGTTGGGGGCACCGCCGGTGACCTTGGCAACGCGGAGAAGGCTGAGTTCGTTTTTCAGGTCCTTCAGTTGGTTCTGCAGTTCCGCCTTCGTCTTCCCTCGGAGTTCGTGGACCTTAATCCTAGCTGTAACAAGGCATCGGTAGTGAGATCGACGCAGTGCGGCCCTTAAGAGAATCGAGAAGAGGAATCGACAAACAACGATTCGTTACCCATTCTAAATGGTTGTCTTCTTCGCCTTCGCCAGCCGGTGCGGCTCTCCGCTCGATCGAGGTAGCAACCGTAAATCCAAACGGCGACGGCGGCACTTTACAGATCCCGGTCGTGAGCAAGCACCTTTGAATAAACCCTAGACATGGTCACCAGGGCTTATTGGGCTTCACATAAACCGACATGATATGGCCTTAATGGTATATCGGGCCTAAACTGGTTCTTAAATGGGCCTTCCAACTAAGCCGATAGTCCTTTAATTGGATCCATTATAATGTTTAGGCTACCAAAATATTTTGATCTATTATAATATTTTGATCACTATAATAAAATCATTGTAAATAATATAAATGGACTCATAACCATAACCAACCCGACTTCAAACATAAAATTTTGATATCGTAATAGTTTATGAGCAAAATATTATATTACTTATAATATTTTTTAAATATTATATAATATTTTCAGTACCCTAATAAAAATAACATAATTAAAATAGGGATAAAAAAATTTACTTGTTATAAATTTAAGATCACCACAATAAAAAATTGTAAAGCTACTTAAAAACATGATAAATAATTTAAATATATTCTTAACCTCAACCAAATCAGGAGGCCCCTTTTACGAAAATTAAAATGAAAGATATTTTTTTAGGGAAATCTTCCCTTAAATATAAATTAATTTTTAATTAATCCATGCTCAGCATGGCAGAATAAACGGCAAGATTAGGCACGTTCCTGTTGATTCGTCAACAGCATGCCGCCCACGTGAAGGAATGAAAACCTAAGCGTGCAGATCATTACGTCGTGGAGTTCTCCCTTTGACTCCACGAACAACGTGCTTTAGATTATCTCCACAGCAGTTTATCGTATCACCTCTTTTATTTATCATGTACATAGAAGTTAATAAGCTATCAGATAAGATAAGAAGACCGCGTACCATGGTCAATATGCATGCATTCAACAATTCAATTATAACATGTGAGTTTTGTGATGCACTTGATAGGGCACAAGGAAGAAAGAGATAAGATACTTAATCAAGCCATTCCAGCTGCAATTTGCTTATTTGCTCTATGACGTGACTAATCTATCCATATCACGTAGGACAGTTCGATCTAAAATGTCTGCAGCTGGTGTAGTTTGACCTCGACATGGCTGGTCTTTTTTGGTGCATAGATCTGGATACCTATCTTTCTTTGCTTTGATCGCAGTTGACTTCTTGTGTTCGTTATATTTAATCTTCGTTGAACTGGATTAGAGCAGAGCTTCTACTGCTCCAATGTACCAAGAGCAGTTTACGTGCCCTCATCTACTCCAATGGCTATATAACAATAGGGTATTGGCGTCGTCTCCTCGGCCACACGAACACGCACAACGCAGCAAGCTGTGTCGCAGTCTTCTTTCCTCTTGTCTCCTTCGGGAGTAACTCGAAGCTCCTCTTTGTTGCTCACTGTACACTGATAACGATGACATGGAAGGGATTACGGAGCCTACTCAAATCTTCTTCCTCGAAGCAGGGCAGTCATCAGATTCGCCATTATCATCGTCGTCGTCATCGGGTCCATGCAGCTGCGGGTGCAATGGACAGTACGATGGAGGAGAACATCGCGGCTGCTGAGGAGGTCGTAAACCAGTGGGGCCTGCAAGTAGACGCCTCTCTCTTCTCCGACAGCGGCCGCGCCGACTCCAAACGCTTCCTCCGCGCCACGGCGGACCTCCACCGCTCCATGCTCTTCTTCACCTCGCCCTCCGCCGACCCAGCAGCCCGGTCCGCCTCACTCCTTCGTGCCCATTCCCTCCTCTCCGCCGCCATGCGCCGCCTCGAGAGCGAGCTCCACCTCCTCCTCTCCGCCCACGGCCAGCGCCTCAACCCCTTCGATCCCCTCCGCCCAGCTTCCAACATCTCTGACGTTGATGACGCCACGGAATCCCTCACCCAGGTGGAGAACGCCTCAGACGTCGCCACGGCCGACATCCGAGCAGTCGCAGAGTCCATGATATCCGCGGGTTACGGAGTGGAGTGCGTACGGGTCTACAAGACGATGCGGAAATCCTTCGTCGACGAGTCCGTTCGCCGGTTGGGCTTCGAGCGACTGACGCAGTCGCAGATCCAGAAGTTCGAATGGGATGCCCTCGAGTCAAAGATCCGAGATTGGCTCGCCACCGCCCCAGTCGCTTTCAGGGCCCTCTTCACAGGCGAGCGCCTCCTCTGCGACAGCGTTTTCGCTGGCTCAGACTCCATCCGCGAGTCCTGCTTCGCCGACGTCACCCGAGACGCCGCCGCGCGGTTCCTTGCCTTCCCGGAGTTGGTGGCAAGGTCGAAGAGATCGCCAGAGAAGCTGTTCCTAATCCTCGATCTCCACAACGCTGTCGCAGAACTCTGGCCGGATATCGAGTCGATGTTCAGGTTCGAGTCCACCGCTGCTATCCGGAAGCAGGCGGTCAACTCCCTCCTCAGGCTCACAGAAGTAGCACGGTCGAGTCTGGCCGACTTCGAGGCGGCAATCCAAAGGGACGCATCCAGATCGCTAATAACCGGCGGTGACGTCCACCCGCTCACCCGCTATGTGATGAACTACCTCGTCTTCCTCGCCAACTATCAGCAGACCCTCGCCGACATTTTCGCGGACTTAGCCTTCGAACCCCCGAGCCCCTTGCCGGAGTCTTTCTTCGACGCGGCAGAGGTGGCGACGCCGCCCTCGTCCTCTCCGTCTTCCGCCTCCACTACCTCCTCGGAGAGCAGCAGGCCGTTGAGCTCCTCCTCTTCCGCCGCTGCCTCAGGGTCGATTTCGGTCCGGATCGCATGGCTGGTCCTCGTACTCATCTGCAAGCTCGACATCAAGGCGGAGCTCTATCGGGAGGTGGCGCTTTCTTACCTCTTCTTGGCGAACAACATCCAGTTCATAGTTCGTAAGGTGAAGGAGAGCAAGCTGCGACTCCTTCTTGGAGACTTATGGGTGGCGCGGCACGAGGCGAAGGCGAGGCATCACGCAGCGAGCTGCGAGCGGCTGGCCTGGAGCAAAGTGGCTGCGACGGTTCCGGCGGACAAGTCGGCGGAGCTGGACGCGAGGGAGGCCTAGCAGTCAATGCGGGAGTTTAACCCGGCGCCGGTGGCAATTTGCCTGGAGTAAGTGGGGGTAGTTGTGTAAGCATAAAATATTATGTCATATATAATATGAAAAAAAATTATACTTAATCAAATAATATTATATCAGATTTACGATGTGTATATTTTGATGTTATCTGAAAAGATCTCTATGTGATCTGCAAAGACATTATCCATCGAATCCAAATATTACAGTCAAGTCGATAGAGAACTAGACATTTCTCTCTTCCTATATTTTTACAAGACCATTATTATTGATGGTTTAGGGACATTGAAAAAGAAATCATAATCTCTAAATTGTATTGACATACCGTTGAATCTCATATTTTGATGATGAAATCAATTGATAATGTTTATGAGTTGATCTGTATTTTGAGTGACGCATAAAGCTTCGATTAGGGAGAGACAATTAATGCAGGAAAAATCATGTTGGGTCGAAGAGAAACATGTCAAAAGATTGGACGTCAAGCCGAAGGATCGGTCGACATATCGATAGAAGGCCTCGGGCCATGGGTTCGAGCATCAGGCTAAGAAGAGCAAAAATTATGCTAAGAAAATTGGAGTTGCAGAGGTCAACTAGCCGATTGGGCAATAGGCCGCAAGATAGGATGATGTGTCGAAGAATCAGATAAAGCGTCGATGAACCAATGACATGCCGAACAACATTTGATTTAAGCATTATAATAATTGTCTAGATCAAAGTAGGTTTTAAGTGTGTAGGATTAACTACGATAGCAAGTAATAAAGCAAAATAAAGTCTCGGAGTCAAGAATGAGACTTCGTTGGGAGTTCGAGAGTTCATCAGAAGTTCTATCGGAATTGATCGAGAAGTCCAGGAGCTTGCTAGAGAAGCTCGTTGGAACTCGCCAAGAAGATCATCGTGAAGTCCAGGAGCTTATCGGGAGTCCGCTAGAACATTGCCGAGAGATCATCGGAAGTTCACTGGAAGATCGCTGGAAGCTTGCTGGAAGAAACCTAGACTTACAAACTTATTTAGCTTAGTAAATATCTTAAAATTCATAGTTAGCATATAATTGGGTTGAAATTGGGCCAATTTAATTAGGGGCCAATTGAGCTAAGTTTGAGCTGTGTTGGGCCAAACGAAAAGGCCCAAACAGTGACCCAACAGGTGGAATCAACGTGGCATAGTCTCCGAGACTGTATCAGGCGATGGTACCACCCAGACTCAGTCTCTGAGACTGTCAGGCAGTGGTACTGCCCAGTGTTAGGCTGTAGGCGGTGGTACCGCTCGTACCCCGAAATTTTGGGGATTTAAATTTTGGCTCCAAGTTTTGAAGCCACTTGGGGTCTATAAATACCTCAGATATTCCTGCATAGAGCAGTAAGAAAGGTAATAAAAAACTCAATGTTTCTAAAGTTGAAAACCCTTGTAAAGTATAGAGTTAAGCATATCTTGTCAAAAGTTCTCTATGTTTCTAAAAATGCTTAACCTGAAAGATAGAGTTAGAAACATAGAGTTAGAAATGCTTTGTAGAAAGGGGTTGTAAAAGTTCTCTCGTGAACCTATTTTTCAAGCTTCAAGTTGAAAACTCTATGTTTCTAAAAGTTCTCTCCTGAACCTATCTTCTCAAAAGGAGAATTGAGTTATAAGGATAATTGATCTTTGCCCATTGAAGGAAGATCGTTAGTGGATGCTGGTGGCCTCGACGGAAGAGGAATCGGAGGAGTGGATATAGGTCACGACGATCGAACCACTATAAAAATCTAGTTTGCATTTATTTCTTACTATTTACCTTTATTGTAAATAGATTTCTTACTTTTACTACACTTCTGTATACTTTCAAGTTAAGTATTTCCAAGATTGGATTTTATCGTACGAAGAAATTTTAAACCGACGTTTTTATCGGCTGCACTAATTTACCCCGCTCTTAGTATCGACTCATTCCTAACAGTTGGTATCAGAGCCACACTATTTCTTATTTGGTTTAACACCCAAGAGAAATTACTCTTTTCGGAATTCAAGAGGGTTTTTCTATCGTTTGTCCTCCAATGTTCAATGGGATGGACTATACTTATTGGAAAACTCGAATGAGAGTTTTCTTACTTTCGTTGAATCTTAATTTATGGAATATTATCGAAAATGAATTTCAAAAGTCTTCTCTTCGAATGAACGATTGGAATGATTTGGAGAAGAAGACTTTCTCTTTAAATGCAAAAGCTATGAATGCTTTATTTTGCGCTTTGGATAAAAATGAGTTTAATCATATTTCGACTTATGAAACGACTTTTGAGATTTGACACACTCTTGAAATCATACATAAGGCACTAGTAGAGTTAAAGACTTTAAAATAAATATTTTGATGTGTTATTTTGAATTATTTCGTATGAAGCCAAGCGAGACTAGTGGAGACATGTACACCCGTTTTACGAATGTCGTCAATAGTCTAAAAGTTCTTGGTAAAAGTTTTTCGAATCTTGAATTTGTGAATAAAGTTTTACGATCACTTTCTAAAAATTGGGACTCTAAAGTAACGACAATACAAGAATCATTGAAGAACATATTGGGTCTTTAATGACCTATGAAATGACTTATGTGACACTTGAACTTAAGAACACCCTTCCAAAGAGTATGAAAGATTTGTTGTTGAATCTCGGATTTTGATGATAAAATCAATTGATGGGTTAATTGATCTAATCCATATTATTGAGTTAAGTGTGCAGGATTAACTACGATAACCAGAAAACACAAAGCAAGGATACCGGAGTCGAGCTCGATGGACGTTTAAGAGACCGAAGAATCACCGGAGATGCTGCCGGAACCAACCGAGAAGAAATCGGGAA